CCACCGTGCGCTCCTCGCTTCATACATACAGCACGCTGATTTCTGGTGTGCCGTCCGTTCCAGGGAGGGGGCGGAGATGGCAGGCGGAGAGGAGCAGCAGCAGGAGCGGATCCTGGTGTCGGTGCGGCTGCGGCCGGTGAACGCCCGGGAGGCGGAGCGCGGCGACGGCACGGAATGGGAGTGCGCCGGCCCCGCCACGCTCAAGTTCCTCGGCACCATCCCCGAGCGCGCCATGTTCCCGGCCAGCTACACCTACGGTAACATGCGCCCTCCTCCTGCTTAACTCCATGCATCTCAATTGATCTGCCATGGCAGACAATGTTCATTTCCCAATCGACCGTACGTCTTCCAGACCGGGTGTTCGACCCCGAGTGCAGCACCAGGCAGGTGTACGACGAAGGGGCCAAGGAGGTCGCCCTCTCCGTGCTCAGCGGCATCAACTGTACGTGCCAAAGCATCCATCCACACATCCAATCCAATGCTGTAAAATGGTTTGATGTGTACTTTCTGCCTGCTTGCATGCTCTTTGCTTTGCTCTGCAGCGAGCATATTCGCCTACGGGCAGACGAGCAGCGGCAAGACGTACACCATGGTCGGCATCACGGAGCACAGCATGGCCGAAATCTACGCCTACATAGACCAGGTGCATTGTCTGCATGGCTCTGCTGCTCTTGGTCTGCTTTGCCTGCGCTTAACCCGTGCTCTGTTTCGGGTCTTCAATTCAGCATGCCGACAGGGAGTTCATCCTCAAGTTCTCGGCCATGGAGATATACAACGAGGCCGTCATGGACCTCCTCAGCTCCGACGCCACCCCTCTCCGGCTCCTCGACGATCCGGAGGTGAGATAAAACTGCTTTCTAGCTGAAAGTCATTCAACAAAATTCTTTTCTATCAGATTCAGAGTTCATCCTACTCATGGTTGGTGCAACTGTGCTTGAATTGTTCAAGCAGAAAGGAACTGTGGTGGAAAAACTCACCGAGGAGACTCTGAGGGACAAAGGCCATCTCCTGGAGCTCCTTGCTGTGTGTGAAGGTGTGGAGCTGAATCCTTTTTTCTTTCTTTCACTGAATCACCGAAACTGGAAATAGCATATGCGCAGGCGGCTCAACTGGTTCATTACTGCTTTGCTCACTCATTTGTGTTGTGCCGCAGCTCAAAGACAGATCGGGGAGACTGCCTTGAACGAAACGAGTTCCAGGTCTCACCAAATACTCAGGCTGGTAGGTGCCCTTATGGCCTTATCACACTGAACAGCGATCGGTAGTCATTCATGTTCTGCGAAAATTTGCTTGTGTTCTTAGCCTCCTGTGTAAACTGCAGACGGTTGAGAGCTCGGCCAAGCAGTTCCTGGGGAAAGGCAACTCCAGCACCCTTCAGGCTTGCGTGGTATGAAGTGAACACCTTAATTTCTTCCTGTGTTTTAGATTCTTTCGACGATACTACAGTTCCATGCATGGCCTCTGGGCTTCTCCTTCTGCGCAGAATTTCGTCGATCTGGCAGGAAGTGAACGTGCATCACAGACAGCGGCGAGCGGTATGAGGCTAAAGGAGGGCAGCCATATCAATAAGAGTCTTCTTACACTGGGAAAGGTCATTCGCCAGCTCAGGTTTGTTGAATTTCAAGTCATACTTCTTGAAGTACAAGCCCAAGCTCTGACGAAATAGTTGGCTTCTGATGCAGCGGTGGAAGAAACGGCCATATCCCCTACAGAGACTCCAAGCTCACTCGCATACTGCAATCGTCTTTGGGAGGCAACGCGAGGACAGCCATCATCTGCACGATGAGCCCGGCGCACTGCCACGTCGAGCAGTCGAGGAACACACTCTTGTTTGCAAACTGTGCAAAAAATGTAGTCACCAATGCACAAGTAAATGTCGTAATGTCCGACAAGGCATTAGTGAAGCATCTTCAGAGAGAGCTTACGAGGTTGGAGAATGAGCTCAAGTTTCCTGGATCAGCCTCCTTGTCAACTCATGCTGAGGTTCTGAAGGAGAAGGATGAACAGATTAAAAAGGTTTGGTTAGTCTTAGTAAATCACTTTCTAATAATCTTCACATTCATGGTAACTAGCTACATTCACAATAATCACCTTGTTTTAAAAATACATAATGTTATGGATTTCCAGCTGGAAGAACAGCTGAAGGAATTGATGGAGGAAAAAGACACGGTTCAATCAGAACTTGAGAATTTCCGCAAAGTTGCAAGTGATGATCATCTGAATTGTCTTAAAGCAAGGCGATGGGTACTTGCTCTCTCATGTATAACTGTCATTTTTCTTATCTATTTTTTTTACTTGTGCCTGTAATACCAAACCGGGTAACCTAACTCTGACAGGATGCACATAGTCGATCTTCAGAATCCCTACCACGTAATATGTCTGAAGATGCACTTTCATGTTCAGATACTTATGACCTAGTCGATCAAGATCTATTAATAGATGCACAGCCAGGGCTCTTTCCACGCCGACCCAGTAACCATGTTTTCGACAGCATAGATGAATGCCAAGAAAACTTGGTGGCCTACCCAGATGTGCCAGATGTCTCAGATGAGCACTGCAAGGAAGTACAATGCGTTGAAACTAATGGGCTCAGAGAAAGGATAAGCCAAGAATCCTTTCATGCACAGAAACCAGAAACGCCTGAAAAGGAGAGAAGACCGATGATGGATCAAGCTGAAGATTGTACTGATGAAGAGAAACGTGATGAAAGCATCACAAAGACAGCAGAAAATGCCATCGAGCTATATGCATGCGATTCTGACCCGTCTTTTGAAATTGAAAAACCTAACGTTGATGAGGAACCATTGGCCCTGAAGAGGTGTGTGGTAAGCTCCAGGGACACTGTACTAGCAAGGAGCAGCAGTTGCAAAGCAAGCTTCATGGTAATTCCAAACAGCTGGTTTGATGATTCAACAAGTATGAACATGACAACACCCCCAAGTGAAAATTTCAAGTTTCCTCCGAGAAGGCCAGAGAAGGTAAGGAGGAACCTGTTTCCTGAAAAAGTTGCCTCGGACGCCATCACCGACAACAGCACAGGTAATGCTGAAGAAGAAAGTGCTGCCGATGACACAAGCCGCGTGACTGAAGTGAAGCAGCAAACTGAGCAGAACGATGCATCCCAGCCACAGGAAAACAGGGCGCAAGCTGGCACAGATTCGTCAACGAGCACCACCTTCGAGTCTCCTTCACGGTGGTCCTTTGATTTTCCAAAGAAGCAGCAAGAGATCATCGAGCTGTGGCATGAGTGTCATATCTCCATAGTGCACAGGACTTACTTCTTCCTCCTCTTCAATGGAGACCACACGGATCACATCTACATGGAGGTAGAGCACAGGCGACTGTCCTTCATCAAGAGTTCTTCCATTGCTGATGGTGAGCCGAATGCCACTGTTGCATCAAGGTACTTATCATATGATGATAACGAACACACCTTCAGCTTATCCATAAAACCAATCATAATGAATTGCACAAATTGATTCTTGTTATTGTTGCAGTTTAAAGAGTCTTCGGAATGAGAGGGACATGTTGTACAGGCACATGGTGAGGAAGCTTAGCGGCGCTGAAAAGGAGAGCCTCTACAGCAAGTGGGGGATCGACCGGAGCTCTAAGCAACGAAGGCTGCAGCTATCGCGCCTCATCTGGACACAGACTGACATGGAGCATGTGAGGGAGAGCGCCGAGCTCGTTTCGAAAATGGTCCAACATCTGGAGCGGGGACAGGCCATCAAGGAGATGTTTGGGTTGAGCTTCTCGCTGAATCTACGGTCTGGGAGATCTTTCAGCTGGGGTGGAGCCTAATCCTGATCTGTGAGACGAGTTGATGACTTGATTACCATGACATGGAGGTAGACGGATACATAGCGCAGCAAGCTGCTCGCGGGAGAGGAATTCACATCGGCTCCAGATTTGGTCCAGTACAAATGCTTTGCTGACTTATGCAGGTGACTAAATTTTCTGAGGGGGGCTTATGGAAGCTGAACCAACTAGACAAAGGGATGCATGCTAATGATTTTGCACTTAACTGTATGATCTATTTACCTGATCAGTGTATGCATCTATATATTGTGCCAACAGAAGGACTGCACTGGCTCGCGGTTTCGCTGTAATCATCGTAACTAATATGACCACTTCAAGCTTATAGCTTGTCGTAAATGTACAGTCTATGCTGGATGCTGCGAGCCTGCGAGGCGTACTTGACCGCAATATGGGTTGTGACGGGTAGTGCACCTGTCATTCCCTTTCCTCTTGTCCTCTATACAGCTAACTGGTTGGTGCTGTACTCTACCAAGAATTGCTGAAACCAGTTTGGCAGTTTCTAGTGTCTGTTCCTTACATTGCTTTCACTCATAAATTTTGGACATCGACATTTTCTCTCATTGGTTCAGTACAAACTTAGTGAATACTCCCTCCGTTGAGTCAGTTATTACAAAGTTGAGTCACTTATTTTGGGACGAAGGGAGTATCATAGAAAGAGCATAATATGTAGAACAGTTTTATCAGCTTTCAAAACCTTCCACAAATTGTAAACATTCAACTTAGAAAAGAAGTTCATTCGCAAAAAAAATAACTTGGAAAAGAAGTTCATAACCCGAAATTAGGTTTAGGGTTCTGGGCTTTCTGGCAAACCTCCGGCTCCCGCGACGCGGCGTGTAGAACGGGTGGAGGCTTGTACGACGGCGCGGCGCGGCGGTTTTTCGGGCGGCGGAGCGGCCACACGGACGGCATGCGGCGGCGCGGCGGGGGTTGTTTTCCCCTACGGCGCGGCATCCGATCGGAGCGGAAGCAGACTTTTCCTGTGGGCTTCTTTTCAGTTTCGTTGGGCCTAGAAGAAACATCTGGGCTTTGGTTAACTCTCTCCGTCTCTCGTGGGCCTTGGAACCCTTCCTCTCACTTCTCCAGTTCTCACCACCTCTCTCCCCTTCCCCTCTCGCGGACGGTTGATCCATAGGCGGCGGCGGCGCTACGCTGCGTTAGGCATCGAGCTCGGCGGCGGAATCATGGCGCTGCGGATGGCGGCGGCTGCGTTCGTGCGGCGCCTGGCGCCGGCGCGCCCCCCGGCGCTCCTGGCGGAGGCGGAGGCCGTGACGTGCGGGCGCGGGGACAAGAAGACCAAGCGCGGGAAGCGGTTCAAGGGCTCCTACGGCAACTCGCGGCCGAAGCGGGAGAAGAAGATCGAGCGCATCAAGGACCGCGTCGAGGTGCCCCGCTCCACCCCGTGGCCCCTCCCCTTCAAGCTCATCTGAGCTCAGCGAGCACCCCCCCTCGGTTCGTCAGGCTACCTAGGGTTTCACTTTACCCCCTGTCGATTACTGCAACTCTCACCTGCTTTCCTTTAGCTCCACTTCCATGGCTGCGCCTGCGCGACCATGCGTTTTACTTAGTTGTTTCCCAAATTAGGCTGTGTTGGATATGTACTATCGGATCGAATTGCCATGTTACAACCATTTTCGACAGCGCAGTCGCTCTGGATGAAATGGATCGTGTTTCTGTCTCCGTGTTATCTGGATGATGATGATAATAAATCATTGCAAATGAAATTTTATAGTTACGGATTTATACAGTTGTTGACAATACTAGTATGCAATAAGCCAGCTTAGCTTTGATTTTCTTTTTGTACGATTGTTGAAGAGTACCCATTTCTGAGTACTGGTTTCTGTAATGATGCTGGGCTTTGATCAATTTGTACATGAAAAATGCCCAATTAAATGTTTAGGCTGGCAAAAATAGCTGTAGATCGGTTAAAACAACAACAACAACAACAACAACAACAACAACAACAACAACAAAGCCTTTAGTCCCAAACAAGTTGGGGTAGGCTAGAGGTGAAACCCATAAGATCTCGCGACCAACTCATGGCTCTGGCACATGGATAGCAAGCTTCCATGCACCCCTGTCCATAGCTAGTTCTTTGCAAGATGCTGACTGTTTACTCTGAATTTGATTTTCATGTTGTGATGCTGAAGGTGCAACCTTATTGTCATTAGTGTCCCCATCTTGACTAACTGACAACAATTATAGCTGAACACCATTTTATTACGTACCTACTACTTAGAAGGTATGGCCTGGGTAATTCATTCCAGTTTCGGTGTTATGGCTTGGAGATTCAGTGATGTTGGCAACTTGCCATTTATGTCAGTGCTTTGATCATCCACATGACTTGAATCATTCTGGCATGGCAGAGTTTTAAATTTGCATGTTTCAGTTGCATACTAGAAGGTAGGGCCTGGCGATTCTGTCCAAGTTTCTATGTCATGACTTGAAGATACAATGTTTTTGGCAACTTGCCATTCTTGTCATTGCTTTGAATCATCCAAATGAGTTGAATCACTCTGGCATGGCAGAGTTTTAAAATTGCATGCCTCAGTTGCGTATTTTGTAGAGTTATGCCGCTGTTATTATTGTTACAGCATGAGCAAAGTATACACAATGTTATGTGTTTTGTGCCACTGGTTTTCTGCTAGCATGTTGGGTGATCTTTGAATAATCAGTAGCCAAATCACATCTTAATGTTGCCTACAATGATGTCCTTTTCTCACCTTGTTTTAAAATTCTGATTTCTTATAAAACTAGTGTTTCCCAAACATGATCACATTACGGTTGCCTTTACGCAACAAAAAAGGGCAACCTGGTGCATGTAGCTCCCGCTTGCGCAGGGTCCAGGGAAGGGTCCGACCACTTTGGGTCTATAGTACGCAGCCTTTCCCTACATTTCTGTAAGAGGCTGTTTCCAGGACTTGAACCCATGACCTCATGGTCACAAGGCAGCAGCTTTACGCAACAAGTATTGGAAAATCTTATCTACATAAGGACATATTCGCAAGCATAATGCAGAACTGGTATAGATATACAGTTAGGTTACGAAGAGAGCTAATTACATATGCCCTTTTCAATATCAATTCCAAATGTTAATGACAACATCTCTCTTTTTTTCCTAAAGTTAAATTTGCGATATAAATTCTGTGTGGGACATGCTTTGTTAGCTTTGCCACTGGTTCACCTAAACCATAGCTGAATTTTATGGTTTAAATTGTCTGAAATGTACCTTTTGCCACTGGGTCAAATGAACCATAGATCAGCCCAATGCTAGCTTGACACATGTAGATTGACAGCGAGGCCACTTGGTATTATTTATTTTGCTTCTGTTTTCCCTTGGAAAGTAGTCCAAGCCATCCATGACGGTGTACTGGCGAGCAGTCAGTTCGGCATATTGAGGATGATGGCGACAAATTGTCACCACCAGTGGATCTTGTGGACACGGCTGGAATTGCTTGGACGTATGCTGATGCTTTGCATAGGTACTTCTCCTGCAATTGTATTCGTTAAGCCTGCTCCTTATCATATGGAGTAGAAGCACCACAACTTGCATCTCTCTTGCATGCTTTTGTGCAAGTTACCTCCTCTCGCTGGATGTGGTCCATCTTTTGTTTCCCTTTGGCCTGCGGCCACTCTCCATGCCCCTGCTTTGGTCCGCCCAAGTTGCCGTTGGGTGATGTATCATGGATCAGTGAGCAGTGCCTGACCATGACAAGTGAGCGACCACACAGATTTCGTGCCAACGACCAGATTTTCGGTTTCTCCCAAGCTTACTGTCTGTAGCACCATTTCTGAGCTACGGGAAGCAACCTATGCGATGGTTGGACAGACTGAGATAGTAACACGGCTGACCCTAGGCTCTTCAATACGGGTGTACTGTAATCCGAGGTGAAGGTATCATCTTCAGTCACCCTGTGTGCCTGCTCCAGGATACATCTGTCCTGTACGGTCATCCTTGGGGTCTCTGAGCGCTCCGCATGGCGCTCCGTTGATCTTGATCCCACCAATGGATGGTGTTTATGAGTCGAGAATCATCAGCTGTCCTCGTCGAACCCATACGTCCGGCTGTTTGATATGAGCCCGTGCTGTGGGTGGCTGTTCATGCTTCATTCCTGGGCTTGTCCTGGTCGGGTAAACCACCCCGCACTCCAAGCTTACTTTAACTGAATCTTCAGAAGTAAGTGTTGTTCTTATTATTGTCAATGTATCATACTATGTCATGGTTGAATCTAGCATTGCTTTGCATTGATCGTTGTTCATGACTGGATACCATTGGAGTAGAGTCTGGGACTATAATTCACAGCTTTATATTCTTCATGCACTCCTTATAGCTTACTGGTGACTTAAAACTTGTCCTGTATTGACTTTATAATGGCTGGATTTTGTAACACCAAAATTTTGCGGAATGTTCTCTGGACATTGTTATGTTCTAACTCAACGGCCTTGCTGCTATTTGCAAGATGTTGACTGTTTACTCTGATTTTCTTGTTGTGATTCTGAAGTTGCATTCTTATTGTCATTTGTATCACCATCTTGGCTATTTGAAAACAGTAATAGCTGAAAACTATTTAATTGCATGTACTTAGAGGTAGGGCCTGCCGACTCAGTCCAGTTTTTATGTCATGGCTTGAAGATATAATGTTGTTGGCAACTTACCATTCATGTCATTGCTTTGACCATCCAAAATTTTCTAAATTGCATGTCTCAGTTGCATATTTCTGGTTAAACACATAATGTTGTGTGTTTTGTGCCACTGGTTTTCTGCTAACATGGTGGGTGATCTTTGAATAATCAGTAGCCAAAACACATATTAATGCGGTGTCCTTTTCTCAACTTGTTTTAAAATTCTGGCTTCTTATGTGAACTAGTGTTTCCCAAACACGAACACACTACGGTTGTCTTCACGCAACAAGTATTGGAAAATCTTATCTACGCAAGGACATATCAGCAAGCATAACGCAGAACTGGTATAGATATACTAGTAGGTTATGAACAGAGTTAATTACATATGTCCTTTTCAATATCAATTCCGAATGTCAATGATAACATCCTTTTCTTGTCTCCAATGGTAACATGGTGAAGTTCCTGTGTGATATGGCTCTACAATTTTCTGAAGTTAAATTTGCGATATAAATTCTGTTTGGGATATACTTTGTTGTCTTTGTCAGTAGGTCACCTAAACCGTAGCTGAATTTGTGGTTTAAATTGTCTGAGATATACTTTTTGTCACTGGGTAAAATGAGCCACAGAATAAGCCCAATGCTAGTTTGACAAATGTGGATTGACAGCACGGGCTGTTGGTATTATTATTTCTGCTTCTGTTCTACCTTGGGGCAGTAGTCCACCTTTATACTAAAGGCTGGAGGAGAAGAACCTTAATAGTAAACCAAGTTTCGAGAACTTCTTAGTGACTTGATTGGTTCCCTTCCCCTAATTTTCACAGGATGGTTCCCGTGAATGTGATCTTGATCACCATTCGATGATATTCTGGATGCTTTTGAGAAGCTTCTCCTATATCAGACTAACCTTACAAAAAATAATCAACTGATTCTTGAGTGTTCAATTCGATTCCATAGCCATCTACGACGGTATAGTGGTGAGCAGCCAGTTGGGCACACCGAGGACGACGACAAATCTTCACGACCGGTGGATCTCTCCAGCGCGGCTGGAGTCGTCTGGACGTTTGATGATGATGGTATGGGCAATTCTGCAGTTTTGTTCGTAAAGTTTGCTTCTTATACTGTACTGTATAGAAAGCATAACTTCTATACATCTCTCTTGCATACTTTTGTGCAAGTATAGTTATTTCCTCTTGCTGGATGTGGTGCATCTTTTGTTTCCCTTTGGCATGCATGCGGCCACTCCATCTCCATGCCCCTGCTTTGGTCCGCTCAAGTTGCCGTCAGGTGATGGATCATACTTCAGTGAGCAGTGGCTCTGACCATGACAAGTGAGCGACCACACAGACTTCGTGCGGACGACCAGATTCTCCGTTTCTCCCCAAGCTTACTGTCTGTAGCACCATTTCCCAGAGCAACGGGAAGCAGCCTATGCAGGATGTTCGGCCAGACAGACTGATAGTAACACGGCTGACGCTCGACTCTTCAATACGGTATTACTGTAATCCGAGATGAAGGTATCATCTTGAGTCACCCGGACGGAGTGCCTGCCTGCTCCGGGACCGGGATGCATCCGTCCTGTACTGTCATCTGGAGGCAGCCCTTGGGGGCTCTGAGAGCTCCGTTGAGCTTGATCCCACCAATGGATGGCGTATACGAGCCGAGCATCATCAGCTGTCCTCGTCCGTCTGGGACTAGGTGATGTGAGCCCGTGTGCACTGTTTACAGCTCCCCCGGGTGCACTGTATCTGTATGTATGTATGCATACCACAGTAGCAGCACCGAAGCAGATACTACACAGGCAGAGATAT